TTGTACAATCATAGTTGACAATATTGCTTAACAATGTTTGATGTGGCAAAATCTGGATTGTTGATTTAAAAAGTTGCTTTTACATTTTTTATAAATGAATGAATGTGATGATATTTGTAAACAAACATTGTTAACTATCTACATATAGCATGAATATATTGATTGTGTAGTCGAAGTAGTACTGAGTTTGATTAATATTTTGTCTCCAATCAAAAAATTTGTATCAAAATGCGTAATCCATCACAATTTTATTAAAATAACAAACACTGAATGAAGTAAATTTATAAAGCTTTTTCACAGCTACCATTCTAAACTCGTATATCGAGATCTACAAACTAGAAGAATTTATTAAAAAATTAAATTTACCTATGAATGAAAGTATAGTCGTACATTATTGACACAACTCTGTGCATCAACATCATTACTAACTAAATGAGTTTTCTTCACATTGTTACCATGTTTCTTCATATGTATGTTTCAAGCATTTATTATACTCTATATGATTCATTTATTATGTACCAAGACTAATCAAATCCTCAATCTAGCATAATATTTAGCCAAGAGACCCGTTAAGATGATGGCTTTCTGTAAATAAACGAACCTACACATCCAATAAATGATGGTTTCGTGCTAAAATTTAGTTAACGTACATTAAAAATAGAGTAATGCTACAGAGCCGGCCCTGACTCAAAGCAAACTAGGCCACTGCCTAGGGCCTTAGCATTCTAAGCCTCATACAAAATTCCGCACAAAACACGCTTCAATCTGAAACCCGCCTAATCTCTTAAAAAATCATTCGTTTACCTTAGGTTACAAGAACGGGACGGAAGAGGCAGTGTTACCGATTTCTCTCATAATCTCCACCAGAAAATCTATTAATTCCCACACTATTGTTGCATTTATCATCACTTTAGAGAAACTGGATCGGGTCCCTTGTTTACACAAGAAATTCTTGATTCCGATGAAGACTTCTAAAAATCTCAGAAAACTAAGCCAAGGTAAAGTTTTATATTCTTGTTGTGTTTGTTTTTTTAGTATTTTATTTATTTATTTATTTTGACGAGATATATATTCCTGAATCTTCATATTTTGTGTACTTTTGATTTTGGGTCAAAAAAGTCTCTGAAAAAAAGTTGAAAATGGTATTACTGGCTTCTATCAATTAAAACTTGATAAATAATGGAGCTTAGATCAGGGAAATTTAGATTCGTTTGTATTCAAGGTTTGTGTTGTCTTGTTCATTTAGGAAAATTTAAGATGCTCGAAAGAAATTGTGAATCGAAAAGTTCATGCAACTAGGATAAGTTCATTAATTCCAGGTGTCACTGAACAATGGCTTCTACATTTAAGAAATGGCAAATGTGCTGGAGATAACCGATGATACCCCAGAAAGAGCAGGTCAGTATTATAACTTTTGAATTAACCTTTTAAAAGATGTATTTGCACTTGATTGTTGCGTGTAGGGATGGAAACGAGTCGGGTTGAGTCTGCTTGCGAGCCTAAAGTTTCGGCTCAAACTCGGCTCGGTTAAAATGACAGAGCTTTTTTGTGGGCTCGGGCCGGCTCGGCCAAAAAAAATAGGCTCGGCCCGAGTCGGGCAGGCTCGTTTTTTTTTTCCTCCTCCTAAACTTCGACTCTATTCTCACTTCAGTATCAATTTTAAAGTAATTACATGTCAATGCTGGTTTAAGACAATTATTTAATATTTGTCTTAAAGTAATTTAGATGTATTAAGTTAAAAGATTTGGTTGATATATATTCAGTTTCTTGATTACCAGAACTATTTAAGGGAGCATCATGATGATATTTTATATGGTAACAGGTTACACTTTTAGGTGGATGTTTGTATAATTAAAATAAGGCAGCGAACTACTGCCTTTAAGTGGCAGCAGTTTAGGCAGCAAATTTAATTTTATTTTTTTTTAAAAGTTCGCGAGCTCACGTGTTGACTCGGGCAAAGCCCGTGTCCCCAAAATGGGGCTCAGCCCGAGCCAGTGAGCTCGATTGCCATCCCTAGTTGCATGTATGTATGACGCTATAATTATTCTTTGAGATATAGTTTTTAGCATTAAGTTGGAGCATCATGAAGCAATCAAAAATAGTGACTGGAAAACTAAAATCGAGAATAACACTTACAAAAGAAATTGCAAAACATAAGGGTCTCGTACTAATTAGTCGCCTAGGGTCACGAAATTCTTGGGACCGGCATGTTATTTGCAGTCACTTACTATCGTAGTTGTCCTATGTATGTCATGTGACAATTAGTAATTTAATGTATTAATGTAGTAGTTTTTTATTGTCTCACGTATTAAATTATTAACCACCACATATATGCCACGTAAGCGGCTACGATTTTGAACAACTGCAAATATCATTATTCTTAAAGATAAGGAACAAATGCTTCGCTGCAATTATGTATTTTAGTAGTATTTTTATTTTATTTTATTTTATTTTTTGCTTATTTAAAAATACGAGTAGAAAATAAGTCTTTTTAATGCAAGAAACGGAAAAAGGGGGAGAAATGTTGACACGTGGCATCATGAACGGCTGGCAATACATGCCTCGTTTAATATCTAACTTCTATTAAAAAACTTAACGAGTTGTCACTGTTGATGAAACAGTAAATGAATCCCAATTTACTGTACAAGAGAGAAGAAAATGACGTCATTTTTTCTATATATTTTTCCTACTTTTCACTGTTGAAGTTCTCTCTCTCTTTTTTTTTTTTTTTTTTTGCCCTTTCTTTCTCTTCTCCATCCCGATTTTTGCTCCTTATTTTCGGCAACCATACTTCTTATTTTCAAGTATAATAATTTTTATTGATTGATTTACACAGTTGAAGAGGTGTATGAATTTAAATATTTCTTTTTACTCCCCTTTCTTCTCGAAAATTTTTTTTGCTGGTTGTAATGGTTAGTAGTATTTTCTTTGAAAATTTTTTATGGAATTGATTTAAATTTTGTTTCAAGTTGTAAATAAAATACATATTTTCATTTCCACATTTTTGTTTAGGCTGTATAATTAATTATTTTCTTATAAAGTATTGCCTGATTTTAGTTGGGTAAATTAACGTTAATTTGGTAAATTCATTTTTCTTGGAATACCGAGAAAATATTGCTTTAGTATCATCTGTGATGTTAATTTGGTGAATTTATTCTTGTTGGAATATCGAAGATTTAATTTTGCTAATTTTATTGTTGACGCTTTAAAAAAAAATTGCTCCACACTGTGCGGAGTAACTCAGCACTTCGTGGGAGCAAAGTGCGAAATTAGTCCCACAAAGTGCAAAGTTACTCCGCACTGTGCGGAAAGATCAAGTGATATCTTCGAATTGTGCGGAGAGATCAACTCTCTCCGCACAATGCGGAGAGTTTCTCCAAACTCTCTGAGAAACCTTTTTTTTTTTGTTTATTCTTCATTTTTTTGGTTTTTTATTTTTTCATATTACCATTTTTTTCACTATTTTCAAACTCTTTGGAGCTAGATTTGTTTTCCAAGTTTACGACAACTCCGCACTGTGTGGAGAGTTTTTCCAAACTTTCTAGAGAGTTTGGAGAAACTTTTTTTTTTTTCATTCTTCATTTTTTTATTTGTTTTTTATTTTTTAAAAAATGAATGCATTTTAAGTGATGACAAAGTAAAGCGTTGACAAGGAAAAGAATGACTAATGTTTTATTTAAATTTTAACTTAGGTAATGCCTAATTTTGTTCCAATTTGTAATATTTCAAAAATCTTTACATGATTTGTCCACTTCTATGTGCATGAGCATTTATCGAATGGCAAATTTGTTTTCAATTGGGATCGAAACAAGTATTTAATTACAATTAGGTTCAAATAAAATATATATGTCACTCGTTATTACATGCTTTAAAAATATTTTAATTATTTATTACTTGTGTCGAAAAAATAATAAGATTTGTATAGGCCTTCAATTTATTTTTAAGAAATAGAAAATTTGAGAATTTATAGTAGTTTGAATACATAGTAACTTATGATTTATGTTTATGCAACTTAATAAAAAAGTAGCTTCAAAAATTATTTTTTATTACACCATATTTAGAAAGAGAATTTATTGACGAACAATTCCCAATTCAAGGAATGGGAACAACATTGATAATGTCAACTTCTTAACACTCCTTTAACAGCTGGTTTGGTAAATCAAATCAAAATATAAAAAGCAGCTAAAATTTTGTACGTTTGGTACCTACTATATTCCATACCCACATGCACGGAGAACTGGAACGCCACCTTCCAAGGAACAGAGACATAAATATTGTAGCAGCTCCTAGCCGAGAGCTGAAGTCAATTTATCGTAAAAGAACGTGGAATGATAGTTGACACAATTATCTTCAAAATTGAGTCGGATCTCTGTTGCTCAAGAAGCAAATGAATTAAAGTTTTCCATTTTTTATAGTGACACTAAAGAGCCAACAAGTTTTCTGTGCTGACCACTACTCCAACCACACCTATAGAGAACGTTGCAGGGAGATAGGGATGCAAAACTACGACAAGAAGATTGATGCAAATTGTACACAGGAATCACAAACGTGCAGATAGTGTAAAATTCTATTATACCCTCTGAACAGTTCTTGAAAACATACCTGAGCTGTATGTGCACCACCAACCACCTCTACAATCTCATGTACATTTTGGTGCGGGATCCCGCATAAACTGTGCGGGGATTTCTCTGCACGAAATTGGTGTGGAGTCCCCCACGAATTGTCCGGGGACTCCCTTGCACCAATTTCGTGCGGAGTCCCACGCAAAATTATAAATTATCTTTTATTTATATTTCCACAATTTTAAATCTAATTTTTACTAATTGCTAGAGAAGATTCATGCTAAAAAATTTAATTCAAACTTCAAAAGCATATTAGGATTATGCCAAGAAAACTAAAATATCTACATCACACTAATAAAGACATATTAAATACAATAAAATCGTGCAACGCACATAGCATCGACTAGTAGGTAAAAATAAATGTCAACGATGGGATCCTTGTAAATATCTTTTCGAATAATAATTAGTAGTTGAAATACAGGTTGAGGCGAACAAAGTCAAACATCGAGTCTTCCAACGATATTTGTTGACAACATCCAGAAATCACGATAAAATTATAGAACTTACACCAACTTCTTGTGTTTGGCTGGAGAAGATAATCGGTGTTTCGACCATTCTTCCAAGGCTTTACTATGCAGAGCATTCATTTGAATACAAGGCCTTCTTTCTTGGATTAACTTTTCAGCATTTTTCCAATCTTCTGCCAGGCCAAGAGCTACGAGCAGTGCACACATCACTGCAACACTTCGGCCATGACCTGAGAATGAAACAAATGACGAGAAGGTTTTAACCCCAGCAGACATGGGAAAATAGAATCAAGAAAATATTGAGTTTGAAGAACTCAGTTATTGAGTCAATTTATGAAGATCTTCACTTGATAATGGCTTTTCCTTTGAGCAATTATAACAATATCAGAGAAAAATTTTAATTTCCTAAAACATAATTAATTAAATAGTCAAAAACTGAAAACGAATCCAAACACAACCTAAGTTACAGTGTCTTGCTTCGACCTAGACTTAGGAAACTTTAGAGAAAATTCAAACATTCTTAAAATTAAAAAATGATTAAGCTTTGCTGATCTTTTTCAGTGAATAGTCATAGAAGTTTTCCACTTAAAGGAATTCCATTCTGAAGTGTCAGCCCTTGAGCATGAGCAATATACACTACGGGAAAACAGGTAAATATTTATGCACTTTGGAAGGGATTCCAATGGAACATGATACGTTCTACAAACCTACTTAAAACACAATAAGGATATGAAAATATCTTATTAACCCTTAGATTTCAGTTCATAACTCAATTCATTCACATGATTACAACTAAAAGTATTTACAAATTATATTCAAGAGGAAATAAATATTATTGTCTGGGTAAGATTTTGAAGTTGGATTGAAACAGCCAACCAACCAGCTCTCTCTCTCTCCCTCCCTCCAACGAAGACAATGGCACAAACAACAATGAACAAAGTCTTATTCTCAACCATTTGGGGTCGCTACAAGAATCCTTTTTCTCCGCTCCATTTGATTCATTGCTAAATCTAAAGGAAGATTTAAAACAATTAGATCCTTATCAACTACAACAAGCCGTGTAATAGCACATATCAGAATTCTGAATTAGCTAGTTATTTGATCTCGGCCCAGCCTCTCCATGATGATAAGTGTATTTTTTTTATTTTTTTATTTTGTAGCATGTGCTGGTATGTATTATGGGCACAGGGGAATAATTTTGATGGAACTACTCCATTGATTATGCATGAGACTAAGCAATGCCACCATGTCTTTTGAAACTACATTGACTCATGATATTATGGAAGAAGCAATTCAAATTAACCATCATTACCCCTTAACAACTGCAAAGTAACAAAGTTCAAAACTAAAAAAAAATCACAAGCCCTATGGAGCAATATGACAAGTATATTTAAGTGATCCATGGAAAAGGGATTCTATCTTTGACTGTAAAAATATGAAATCTGAACCCAACTTTCCAATACTACGGTGGTGCATAGAGAAGAGAGGGGATAAGAACTAAGAGCGCTAAGTGCATGTTTTGTTAGTGATTAGATTAAAATTTAAACGATTATAAATTAATGGGTCCAGCAGAATGTGTGGACAATAAATAAATAGTAGTTGTTAGTCCCCGAGTAATGTTTGGACAAAATGTATGTTCGACCAGAAGTGATTAAATTATAATCACTTCCCAAACAAGCACCAAGTAGACATAAATGTCATTGATAAAAGAAATTGTTGCCCCATAGAGAATAAAGAGGATTCAAAGTGGAAAAAAATTGTTGCTTTGGTACTTGGCTTAAGAGGTGGCATTTTAATGTTTCACCAGGGAATGACATTTTTCTAGCAACTGCTTGCTCTAAAAGACAACTGGAGAAAATGTTAATCCTGATTTTTATCCTTGGGAATATATGATTTGTACAATATGGACAGTTTTTAGAAAGCCTTTGAGTTTCTCGTGTTCCAAATCTTGGGTGCCTCGTGTACAGTGTTATATATATATAGGAGAAAGGCATTTACAATCTTTTCACAAATGTCGAAGCATCAACCCTTTCGGTAAAAAATACACCATCCCAGTAAGTAAATCAGGATTGATGCTCGCGAATGATACAGCTATATATCGTGCATTTTGTGACGTGTAATGTAATCAACCACAATACAGCTGAAACACGAACATAAAAACAAGTAATATTCACGGCTAGTCCATATTTGGATCATTGACTAAACAAGAACGATTATCATTGGATTGAAGAGATCACACCATACCATATGCGCAGTGGACAAATACCGGTATCTTCTGAGCTCTCTTTCTACAAGCCCACTTCACAGCAGACTCAATCTCAGCTGGCTGAGGTGATCGCGTGTCCCATGTAGGAATGCAAAAATAAGCATGTCCCGAAAGCTCCATTATCCTCGGAAACTCACAAGTGCAGTCGATAATGGCTGGATTACCAGGTGGCAATTTGTCGAGCGAATAAGGCCACCCTCCAACATATAATCCTTCTGAAATCTCACTATACGGAGCCTCTCCACTTCTCAACCTCCTCAAAGCTGAAAATAGTCTAACAAAATATAGATATGGACTGAACATAATTAAGGACCAAATGGGAAATCTCCCATCTGTTCCTTTCCCCAAAAGTATTGGCAGATTAATGGATGGATGTGCAGCAATTGCAACCAAGAAAGACACCAAAGATGCATATAAAACTGGAATTCCTGGCAACATGAAACCACGATTTCTTAGATATGTAAAACCCATGAATAAAGTAGCTGCCTCTAAGCCTATAAGCATAGTTATACCCACACCCATCTTTCTTGAACAATAGACAATATTAAAGTAGAAGATCAATAGATTTTGCACATTTAGTCAGTTCCACAGTTACAGAAATTTGAAGAAAATATAGTCAATAAGAAAAAGGAAATTTTGTACAAACAATACCATTTATATGGATAATTATGAGGATTCAGGATCGCAGATTTGGTCCGGATTTCATGAGGAAGTACGAAGTTAGGGCTCTTAATTTTGAAGAAAGGAAGCACAGGGGGGTTTTGAATATCTGACGAGACCCAAATGGAGGATCATTCGACTCAGTGGACCGTAGAGTTGCCGTGAATAAAAAATATTCGTGAACTCGTTGGCTGCTGTTCGTTATTCCATTGAGTTGCCGTGAATACAATATTCGTGAAATCGTTAGCATCTACTCTTTATTCCATTCCCCCTCACTCAAGTATGCTTTGTAAAGAGAACATTTGTGAACTTGTTAGAGGTCAGTCGATCACTGTTAACAAGAGTTCAGGTCGTGTTCAGGGTGGGTCATCGGCAAGAGCTTTTGTCGGACTTGGGATAGATTATTTTTAAATTAGATGGAGTTAATTGAATAACTTTTTTTGGAAAATTTTATAATATTAATGAAATGATAAATTGTGATGAACTGAAATATCAATTACTTGATCAAGTAGCAATGAGCATATTTATGATGGATTCAAAGCTCTGCAGCTTCCCAATCCTTTATACGCATAAAGATCTCCATTGTATCTTATTTGCGTCTACATTTGAACGCGAACAAAATTCTAACACTTGCTCTAAAATCAAATTCCAACGTTACAAATATTAATTAGAGATGTTAGTAGACTTCGTGCTATAAAAAATTAATTGAATATTGACGCTCTTTTGTTCTCAAAAAATGAAGTCACTCCAAACCTTTTGAAGTTTATCTCCTCTATCATTGTAAACATGTTGCGAGTAAAATATATGGCCCCGTTTGGTCCCCATTCTTTTTCATTGTTTTTCCTCTTTTTTATTTTCAACCAAACAATCTTTTATAAAATAATATTACACGTTAATCGAAAATTTTTCATTCTTTTTCAACAACACATTTTAAATAAAAAAAAAAAAAAACTATTCCAAGCTTAAAATTTGAAAAAATAATAATAAAATGGGGGGCAAATGGTATCTAATTCTACTGGTATGCCACTGTACCTATAATCAATGTACTTTTGTTGGGGAAATAAGATTTAAGTACAAGCATATGTAATAATTTTTACTAGAACTAACTATTGATTTTTTTTTTTATATTCAGGTATCCACCTGACAGTGACTAAATCCTGGAGTCTACACCTTGGCCCCTCAAGTTGCAGACAGGTTAAACCGCAAGTTGTACCCCAAACTGATCAGTGCTCAAGAGCCCTCCAACTAATCTGTCAAAGTGCCAAGCAAGTCGTTTTCCCATATTGGTTACGGGAGCTGTTTAACGCTCCCCAGTCCCCTGTATCTTTGGACTTACATTTCGTACAATTCACATAAATGGCTTCCATAGTATATATGTTACTAGAGTATTGAAATCTAATGCATTTGAAAATTGGGTTATAGCAAATTTCGTACCCTCAAAATTATACTTGCAATCATTAAATAAACTAAATAAAATAACATAGTAAATCTTTTCAGTGTATATATATATATAAAATAAAAAGTAAGTGAGAACTTTAAGGCAAGGAGGATAATAGTCATCAACAATTCATTAGTGGCATAAAGAAAATTTCAAAAATCTTCTCACTTTAAATGCAATTTCTCAATCATAATCTTGTAAATTATTTTCTAGGTCGTGTGCGTTTCGGGAATTGTAAAACGTAGTAATAAGTGATTCATGGCCTTCATAAAATTTTAGCCAAAGGTAAGTTGAGTTCAATATATGACTTATATCGATGACAAATGTTTAGACATCCATTTTCTTATTTGTGCAAAATTCTTGAAAATTTGTTTTATGCTCAGTGATATTATAATATAGTATTCCTAATTCTTTTGAATTGATCTTGAATTAATTTTTAACCCATTTTACACAATTATATTAAAAAATTTACGAACACAACGTCCACGAAAAAGAATACCACCAACATCAAGATTAATAATCCAAAACTAATTTATCAATTACTGTTCTATTAAGCAATGCATTGTTAAATATAAAACTAGGAATCTTATTGTCACTATGAAATTCTTTAATAATACTCATTAAAGCTTTACAAATATTCTTAGAACCATGAAAAAATTTAATTAATGGGAAAATTGCAACGGAGGACCCCAATCCTTTTATTTTGTTGCAGAATATATCTTAACCTTACATTATTGCAGTCGTAATCTCAAACCTTTAACTTCTATTGTAGCCAGAGTCTATCATAGAGTCCATGACAGACTCCATCCGTTTATCCGTTAATTAACCCTAAATTAATGTTTCACTCAAATTGACAAATTAAATGAGGGGTAAAATGGTTAAATTAAATGTGAAAATTTTGAGATTTCTCTTCACTTGTTTGTCAAAATCCCAAACTTAAACCCCGGTTTGGTAGCAATTTTTCAAATCAAAATTTTGATCGTTATTTCGCCATTCCAGTTGTCATTTTTTTTACTTCTTCACTCACAAGTGAAATCCAATTTTATCTCTAACGATCAAAAAATATATTCTCATGATCAATACCGAATAGCACTAAGTCTAATTATGGATCACGCCCCCCAGGGCACATCCGAGTTGGTGGATCAATCACCTTTGGCGCGCTCGCAACCTCAGCGTGGAGAGTTCGATTCATGGTGGGAACCTTTGATCCAATAAAGGGGCAATTTATTGGTGGATTAATCACTATG